TGCTTCTCCGGTAGCATGGTGCCAAAACACACCAACATCTTATCGAAGCCTTCTCGACTCGGGTTTAACTCGGCCTTCAACCCCATTACGCGTCCAATCACATCCATTTGAGAAATCATTATACGCTTCGTGAAGGGGTTTTTCATCTTTGAGTCCAACATTTTGTAGAAGTCCTTTGCGGATTCCTCCATCTCCTCCTTCTCACGTCGTTCGTGAAGTGAGCTTGGTGGGCATCATCTAGCATGGTTGCTACCCGGCATCATCATCAAAAGCCTCGAGGCGTGGTCTCTCACCACCTCCGCTCTTATACGATCGCTTCACCATGGTAGATCCTTCTTTGGTAGCCAGTGTATAACCATTGAACACAAGATGTCTACCCATGGTCTTCTCGTCTACTTTTCTCCTGTTGTCACATTTGCTGCAGGGACACCAAACTAGAGAATGTCCTCCTGCTCCTGGGCCAAATGCATGTTTCAAGAAACCATCTGTCCCCTTCACCCATTCATAGTCATAGTCACTCCCGCTTCTCCAGCCCATGTACATCCACTGACGGTCCTCCATCCTTTAACATTTACAGCATAGAGTATTGTAACCATCAATTACATCTACGCGGTGTTCCTACTGTCTAATAGGTGAGGATAGGTCCTAATCCCACCCACGGATGCGTAGATGAGGTCAGTTTCCATGCTCCGCTCCTCTCCGAGACAGAATTTCGGCAACACCTCCTCGTTGTTCTCTCGATACACGTCCTGCAAGGGAGAGTGTGTATCCGGAGAACAACAGGGAGGTGTTGCCGAAACTCCTTCTCGGACCGGAGCGGACCATGGAAACTAACCCATCTACGCATCCACGGGCTGTCCAAAAAACGTGGACAATCCGAAACAGATACGGTCACAGATACGCAAAGATCCGCATACCTATGACCGTATCTCTTTCGGGTGGGAGACGCCTAACTGGGTTACGCGTGGGCTACGACAGACATGCGCAAAAAGAGGTTATTTATACCTAGGGTGTCGGTGAAGTAGGGCTAGCGGGGCAGTGGCGAATCGACGCAGTGGCGAGGCGACGCAGTGCAGGCAGAACCGCGACGTCGACGAAGACGATCGGGGTCCTCCGAGTCCCCTCCGATGTACTCTTCTCCTGCATAAAAAGACAATAGGTTATTTTTGTTCAAAATTTAAAGACACCTCCCCTGCACGGGAGGTTTCAAACCCTACAAAAAACGACATGATGGCCGACATTCAACGGCAGCACGAAGGCCGACAACCACAACGGCACGAAGGCCCTCATATCAACTTATGGCACGAAGGCCCACACAACCACATACTGCACGTAAAGCCGATAACGAGAGTTTTACCTAGGGTTGCGGTGGAGTCGGGCGTCGCGGTGCGGGGGTCACTTTCTTCTCCGACGAGGTCGAGCGGCGTTGGAGTACTCCTCTCCCCCTCTTCCCTTTCTTCTCTCCTTTTCCCTTCTTCTCCTTCTCTTCCCCTTCCTCCTTCTCCTCTTCTTCTCCTTTTCTTCCCCTTCCTCCTTCTCCTCTTCTCCTTCTCTTCTTCCTCCAACTTCACCCTCTGCCTCCTCCCCTCCAACAGCAGCCGGCGATGGGGGCGGCCTGGGGGCTGGGGTCGGGGCGGGAAGGCCGGCGAGGGGGAGCCGCCGGAGGGCCGGCCGGGGCGGTCGACCTCCCCTTGCTCGACGGAGACGGGGAACGGAGGCAGGGCGCGACCTCGGCCGCCACTGGGCATGGTGGGGGTGGGAGTGAGGGGCTGGTGGCGGCCGGGCTGGCTGGGGCAGCTGGGGGAGGGGCAGGCGGCGGCGCAGTGGCGTCTTGGGAGGGTGGTGGAGGGTGGGTGGGCTGGCGGCCAGGCTGCCAAGGGCTGAGGCGGCCATGTGAAGGGTGTGTGGTGTGGGGCATAAGCGGTGGTGGGGGGGGCGAATGGGCGGCCGGGTGCACAAGCAAAGGTGAAGCCTGGCGGGCCGGGCTCACAGCCATTCTATAGCAAGACATGAATGGCATGTCTGTGGCGTGGTGGTGGTGGAGGCAATGGCCATGAGTAGGCGCGTGGGGAGGGAGATGGTCGAGCATTTTTTTTTCACAATTTCCGATTGGGAATTTGGGATGCGGCCCGATTTAGGGTTCGGTCCTTTGCCGAGGGCCCAGATCCACGGCCCTCGGCAAAGATTTTTTTTTAAATTCTTTGCCGAGGGCCACGGGCCAGGCCCTCGGCAATTTTTTTTTTTTGGATTTTTTTGCTGAGTTTTTTTGTGGTGCTACAATACATTGTTTTGAACTCAATTTTAAAATTTAGGCCAATTTTGATTATGTTTTGTATATTTCCTTAATTTATTTTGATTCTTTGATTTTTTTTCGAATATGTCAAATTTGAACTGCAGGTGCATGGAATATTGCAATGTAGTGTTTCAAAAAATATTATTCATGTTAATTGGTGCATGTTGAGTCCCTATCCATGAACTCGCATCAAATTTTCACGCATCTTGTTCGCGTAACATGACGACCGACTTGCCGGAAAAGTGTTTAAAATTATATAAAATCCATACAAAGTCCGAAAATCATGAAACTTGGCGAGATGTCATGTCATCGCATGTGTAGGCTGTGGTAAAAAATTGAGAAGGCTTCGAGCGAGTTGCGATGTCGGATGCCTGAAACCCAGACATCTCCACATGTGATCACCCCTCTACGGGCCACCCCTTGGTACACCCCTCTACGGGCACATGCAGCAAGGGTTGATGCTATCCCCACATTCAAAACTGCTTATATGGCCTAGCTCCGCACGTGGAACGGGCCTATATACGCGTAGCACCTTGCTTACACTTTTGTCCTCGCTCCACATAAAAGAGTTAACCTGGTGGTGCTATATTTGGAACGACAAAGATTATAAGCTAGTCCTCACCCTCCTAGACTTCTAAGGTGGTACTAAATCCACCAACTATAGTCCACATATGTCACATGGGCCACATGGACGACCAACTTCATGACAACTACCGGCTTCTAACGGGCCGGGGTGTTACAATAGCGACGGATCTATCATTCAATGACGGACAGTTCGACGGTCCTACTTTTAGCGACCGACAGCATGTTAGTACTTTTAACGACCAACAGTTCAACGCAATAAAGAACTTTTAGCGACTAACAATCCATCGAGCTCAATTAAATAGATAAAAAATTAAACCAAATATATTTAAAACCATGTAAATTGGACCAAACATTCAGAACCAACACAATATTAAAATTATATTGTATAGATTTTGAATGACATACACAAATGGACACAATAATTATACTCTTATTAATTTATATCAAACGAGTACATATGTAATCATGTCACTAGCTTGTTCACATCAAGCCAACATACAAGCATATAGCTGATTACAAAAACTAGCAATTATTCATCTGGTTGCACAGCCATCAAACATTGTTTCCCTGTTGAGCAAAAGCCATCAACCAAAAGTGAGGCAGACCAGTGAGCCGGCTCAAGGAGGCGGCCGGTGTCAAGCAGCCGTGCGCGAGCCTGTGCGGGCCGGCAAGCCGCCGCCACTACACCATAGCCCATCTTTAGCATCGCATGAGAGTCGTTAAAAATGCCAATTTAACATCGGAAGGTCGGACGTTAAATATTAGTAACATTCGGTCGTTCGTTATATCTCGTTTTTGCAACAGACTATCGGTCGTTATTGTTATTTCGCTTTACCATTCAATGGTCAGTCATTAAATCTTGATATTATGGTCCAACTATCCGTCAGTACATATAATTTGGGCTCGTTGCCGCGTGGCCGGAGGGGAGGGGCGCCGCCGGAGCTAGGTGCCGCGTGGCCGGAGCGGAGGGGCGCCGCCAGAGCTCGCTGCCATGCAGGGGAAGAGAGGGAGGGACCTGTGCCACGGGGCTGGGAGACGCGATGCTGGATGGGGGCCGGACCCCATTCGCCCATAGGAATGGGGTCTGTGGAGATGATTTGGGTGTCCACCCCAAATTGGGGGCTCTAGTAGGGATCATGCTGGAGTGGTGTTTTTAATTTGGGCACCCATATTTAGCTATGTGGGTTTAAATAGGGACCTGCTAGAGTTGCTCTAAAGATGGATCATTTTGTAAAGAGTGCAAGCAAACGATGTGGGCTATGCAACCAAACATCTTTAATCTAGCGTATTGGTCAAACTGTTTTGAGGTCTACTGCTCGAGGGCAGCCAAGAAAACAGTGTCCTCAAAAGTAGTGGAGTCCTCAAATAAAAAAATAATGCCTTATTTTAAGAGCTACTACTGAGTTGCTCTTACAGCCAGCTTCACGTGTTCCATCCTGCAATCCACATATGTTTTGGTGGTTGGCTAATCTTTTACGCTATCAAAGTTTGGAGGACGGAGAGCAAGACAAGAAGACAACTATATATGGACACAGCCCGTAAAACCGTATATATATCTGAGCTTCTCAGTGACAAAAGAAAAGAAAAGAAAAGAACTTCTCAGTGACAAAAAAGAAAAGAAAAGAAAAGAAAGGAAAAAGATAGCTTGCCACTTACTCTAGGCTGTAGCAAAAGGAGGCCACGACGACGATGACTGTCAAATGATCAACATTAGTAAACGATGGAAGCGTAGATATTTAGAGCATCTCCGAGTGTTCTCTACTTTTTTCTCTAAAAACTTGTAGTTTGGCAACTCCTAAAAAGATTTGAAAAGGAAAAAAGAAGATCATCTCCAAGAGTTTCTAATAAATGACATCTAAAAAATCAAATTTGGTAATTATCATCGTCTTCTTCCTCTGAGAACCACGTACGCAGAAGCAGGGCGGACGAGCGGCTGCCGGGCGGAGCAGGGCGCGGGCATCCGGGTCGCAGGGCTGTTTCCTCGTCTGGCTTGCCGCTGTTGTCGACGTCGGCGGTGCCGCCAACGGCAACAGCAACGGCAGGCAGTCGAAAACGTCCTCGCCACCACCATACCAGGTCACCAACCACGCACCCCGCCTCCGCCTAGCCGTGCTCTCCCGCCATGAAGCAGCTCCACAAGTCTTCCCCCACCCACGCGCCATCGTCGGCGCACGCGCCAGCTCCCAAGGCCGCCAAGCCGGCGCGCCCCGGCCCGCGCTCCTGGATCGGGTACGTCCTCCGCGAGCAGCGCCTTCTCTTCGTCCTCCTCGGCGTGCTCATCGCCTCCACCTTCTTCCTCCTCCGGACCTACCTCTCGCTCTCCCCGTCCTCCTACCTCCCCGACGCCCGCCCGCTCTTCTCCTTCGCCGCCCGCTCCGGCATCCCCGCCGGCTTCCGCCCGCCGCCGCGCCGCGTCGTCGTCACCGGCGGGGCAGGGTTCGTCGGCAGCCACCTCGTCGACCGGCTCCTGGAGCAGGGGGACAGCGTGATCGTGGTCGACAACTTCTTCACCGGCAGGAAGGAGAACGTTGCGCACCACCTCCGGAACCCCAGGTTCGAGCTGCTCCGCCACAATGTGGTCGAGCCAATCCTCCTTGAGGTCGACCGGAGCAGGGCGCGACGGAGCTATGAGCGGCGTGCAGCCTCGCGAGGTCGAGGAGCAGGAGCATGTGGCCCTGCGCCGGGTATGGCCCGAGAAACCTGGCTCACGGCAGGATCCGCGCGAGCCCGACTGCGCGTAACTTTGCGCGTCGAGGGCTCAGTTTTTGGAAGCGCTAAAAGATTAGGAGGCGATTTTAGGAGCTGTTGAAGAGGAATTTTTTCACTTCTTTCTAAAACCCAAGGATTAGGAGAAGGTCTAGAGAACTTTTGGAGATGCTCTTATCTTATCCTGCCCTGCGGTTTCGACGCGTGAAGATCAGAAAATGAGGTCCAAGACTAACAACTTGTTCGCTGGTTGGTTTCTGGACTGATAAGCCCGGCTGGTGCTGGTTTATTGTGAGAGAAAAACATTGTATTATGGCTGATAAGCCCTGGCTGAAACCAACAAGCGAACAGGTCGTAAGGCCAAAGACCTCGGTTTATACAGGTTTACTGTTAACACGACGCATTGATATATCTTATACTAGCTCCTATATACTAACTTTTTTTACTAATTTTATATAAAAAACCATTAATATTTATGACTCTAAATACACATATATACTATGAAAATATACTTAAAATTAATTTAATAATACTTAATTAGTATCATAGATTGTATTAGTTCTGTTATATATTTGATTAAATTTAAAATTGTTAAGCTCAAACTGTATTGTTTTATGACAGAGAGCTGTGATTCTGTGAACCATGGACGCGCAAACAACACGAACTTTTTTCAATCCCTGGTCATAGAGGCAAGGAAAAATCCGAGAAGATGTATGGGTGATACCGTGGAAAGGCAGAGTCTTTTCGCTGTATTTTCGTTCTGTCACCCTTGCAGCTTCTGTGCTAAAACATAGGACGATAATTATAATTTATCGAGTCTCTTTCTTCTGACCTTTTTCTAGCTGTGTTCAGACGCTGTCAGCATGGTTCATTTTTCTCTGACACGGCTTCAACTTCTCTTTTGCAAACAGGAACTTCGTGCTGCATTTCCTATTACACTGCCGGCAACTCCTCGCGCATCTTCGTGACTGCCGTCTCTGACCAGCCTGAAAATTGTTTCTCCACAGCTCGGTATATATGCCTGTGTATGGTGGTTCAAATTGCGTGGAGGGTGGCCTCTTCCTCCCTCCTCCGCCATCTATCCTGGCTCTCTAGTCTCTATCTCTATTCTGGCTACCTTTTGGTGCTGGGAACTGGAGTTTGTCTTGCCCATTTTGTCATAATAAAATGCTAGGGATATATGCTTCCTTTCCTTTCTTAAGGTCCCCCAAACCATTGCCTATGTTCGGCCTACATGTCGTCTACCAATCTTTCATAGAACTAGCCTCTCACCTCCAACATATATAAGATGGGCATGGATCCCTAGACCGTGACATCCCTTAGATTCATTTGAGTCTCCTTCAACATAGCCTCATTAGACAGCATCCCTTGACATTGCTCAGTGTCCCACATCAAGCCTCACCAAGCAACGTCCACGGATACATGAACTCCCTCCGAGGACACCATACGCCCACGTATAGGGCTACGGTATTACCTCACTAGGAGGGAATGAACCTATATAAATTTGTGTCTTGTGTTAGCATCGAGCTCTCGGTCAAGTGCATAGCCCCATCATCATCATTGGGCATATACAATCCCGTAATAACCATTGTCAGTGACAAAGAAAACCAACAAGGAGTCTATCCCCACTATCCAAGTTCCAATGATGGTTATCCCATAGTCAAGCGTTGCAAAAGGCAGGCCGCCCGACCTTTCCTTGGCCACTCGGCTTCCTTATGACAACCAAGCACAAACCACTTTTGCACACCACTCCAGGGAGCAACCAATATTAATGTATTAGAATTGTCCCATCATGCCCTATTCTTGTTCACTATGGTATTTCTTATAATTCACTATGGTGCAAATAACCATACAAAATAAGTGACTATGTGAGACTACAAATAATCAAACAAGTTCTTCATCATGAAGAACAAAGATGCATCAACATCATTAGCGATTACCTCACAAGTTTCATCATATATACCATCAATGCACAAGCCACAATATGCTTCTCCAATACATTTGACTATAATCCATGGTTTTGGCATGTGTTGTTTTATGAATATCCATATACCCTAATTGTCCTATACCAAGAGGTCATAATATATATGATTCACTATCATAGTTGCATCCAGAGTTATGTTTATGAATATGCTTTAAATGTTGACAAGACAAAATATTTAGTTGATTAAAGTCGGCATGCATTGTTATACTTGCTAGAATTTCATTTCTGCTACATTAATATGCTTTTATAGAATAAATGAACTAAACATGCTAGTGAATGTTAAGTTTATCATCACCATAAGTAACATGAGTATTATTTTTCTGACATGCAAGCTTTGCCAAAAGTAGGAGGCATATGCTACACTTAAATTCAATAGACTTAGTATTATCACTTATTATTCCACAAGTTTGGTATGTGGACGTGTTTTGCAACCTATGAACATCTAATCTAGAGGTTTTGATTTAATTTTATTGAGGATAGAAAAAAGTACTTGTACTTACAATAATATGGGGGTCAAATTACATATTGTAGATTGCCATGACATATCCCTTGTCAAAATAATCCAAATAAGCATACAAATCGCTTGATTTGGAGTACGGATGTGAAACTTATGGTAATTGCAACATGACCACGTCCACAAACCACAAAAACTAAACTATCTAGTTTTCTTTATTTTCAAATCAAAACATTCCATTTCTTCTTAAACATATCTATTGAGTTGCTTTGATGTGTGGATTACAAGAGTTTTGACTCATGACCAAGAAGAATCCCCCTATCTTGTACTTCTTAATCTTTTCTCTCCACCCTACTTTCTCAAATCATATGTGTTGTTCTTCTCTCGTCTATTAAGGTGGTCTAATGAGCCTGCCGATAAGGGCAACCTAAGATGTACTTGCTTTGCATTGATGGGTCTCTATTGGACAATGGTTACTTAGTCTACCCAACGAATGAAAGAACCCCATTTCTGAAATTGAGAGTCTTCAGTTTCCGCCGAAGGCATTATTGCAAGGTGTGCCTCTATGGATTGTATGTGATGTGCTCATATGTCCCAACATGAACATGGAGACTATATATATATATATACACACACACACACACACACACATACATACATATATAAAGAACCCCATTTCTGTTATTGGGAGTCTTCAATTTCCGTCGAAGGCATTATTGCGAGGTGTGCCTCTATGGATTGTATGTGATGTGCTTATATGTCCCAACATGAAACATGGAAACTATTTACGTACATGAGTATATATATATCTATAACTAATATTAAAGTCTGTAGCGTTTCCTTGGTTCATCACTCTCTCCCATACCCATACAAAGGAGCTGCAGAATCCGATGCTAAGACAAATTAGAATGTATGACACGATCATTAGATAAATGACTAAGCCCTCTGTTCTTATAAGAGTTAGAGTAGCACACGTCCATGCGTGGTACATAATTTGATTCCAAGACAAATTAAAACGTATGGCACAATTATTAAGTAAAGCTCCAAGCGTCAAGTCATTCAGATGATCATGCGACAAGTTATACATTCTTGGCCTGTTTGGTAGAGCTCCATTTGATTCTTATTCTCTATGGAAGCTGATTCTCTGAGAGAAGTAGTTCTATGGCTGAAAGTGATTCTCTTTGATTCTTTAACATAAACTCTCAAAATCACGATGGAGAATCACTTCACACAATCAGGAGAAGCTACTTTTTTTTAACTCCCAGCCTCTTAGTTCATTTCAAAGAATCACTTGAATCAGAAGAGAATCACTTCTCTCTGAAAAACTGTTTGGTAGAGCTCCTGCTGGATTCAGCAGAGAATCAGCTCTAGGAGCTCTGCCAAACAGGACCTCTATTACAATGCACTATCATGTTTGCTAGTACAACGACATATACTAATTAAGTAAAAGTACTCCATAGACCAATATAATACCAATATACATTAATCTAGGGGCCGGCGGCCATGTTGGTTGCAGGCACTTGAATTCAATTAATATTTATCCTATGTATGAGGCAAAATAATAAAGAAGAAACATACAATAAAAACAAGAATCTAAAACACAGTTCTTGTTTAGCATAGCGGAGTGTGATCATGATAGCATGAATATTAAATGTCAAATTCTTTGAACAATATTACCTCCATTTTCTTTTTATAAGACATAGCATGACACCGTATTTCAAATTACTATTTGAACATTTATTTATTTTACATTATATTATTTATGTCTATAAACTTTTTATAGTTGGATAGTATATTTCATCACAATACTAACACTGTAGAGTATGTATTATTATGGCTCAAAATTCTTAGTCAAATTATTGGTCAAAGATTTTTAAAGTTTAACCTTGATATATGTGTGCTGTCTTATAAAGAATATGGAGGGAGTAACAGTATCACACCTTAACTGTATTTAGATCAAGTTGTTTTTCATGGCAAGAGAGCTATTATTGTAAGCTATAAAACGATACTCCCTCGCTTCTAAATTATAAGTTATTTTGGTTTTTTAATATATAGCTTTTGTTATGCACTTAAATATACATTATGTCTAAATACATAATAAAAAAGAATGCATCTAGGAAAGCTAAAACGTCTTATAATTTAGCATCGCGGGAGTATTTGTTATTCTCGTTATTAGTCACTATATTGTTGATGATTTACATGGACATCCTTGCATTACGGGATTATTATGGTCAGTTTGGCAAAGCTTCGATCCCAGCTCGTCGGAGTGCATTTTGCAGATCCCTACCAAACGATTAAAATGCAACTGGGTTTTAGTGGTAAGCTGACGAGAATCATTTCTCCATTTACACTACAAGCTGAGAGAAAAAAAAAACCACTGTCCACCGCTCCCCACTCAATCACCATCAGTATCACTTCATAATCGAATCTCACCTGCTCTTCACCCTTGTCCCCACCAAAATCACTTCACCTTAGAATCAATAAGTAAAGATCAAGAATCAAGAAGGAGAGCTCTACCAAATTGTCCCTTAGACATTATTTCACCTAGAGAAAGGGATGTACATTCATGTCATGAACCCCAAATCACCCTCGATTTCCTTGCTTTAAGCATCTATGAGGACAAAATCTTGGAAAAACTAAAAAGAAAGGAAGAAAAGGGAAAAGAAGGACAGGAGATGAATAATTCCTTGTCATTACAAATTATAAATTACAATAAAGGATATACCACCTGTCTGATATGTTACTGTTAGTGATTGTGGAGGGTAGGGTTCCATGTGTCATAAACACAGTAATGAGTAATGACATATCAGGAAATATTGCCAAATAAGTTCTCCATGATTGGCAGAGCAAAAATAAATTCCAAACATGGAAATGAATCAGCATGAAGTACTGTGGTGTCAGTGTCACACACACACACGTCGGCTCATCTCCGTCCGCGCGTCCTTTATCCTTTCTTTCGTTCTCTCTTTTTGGAAGCAGAAAAAATGCCTTTTGTCCTTTCCGTGGCCAGGCGAGGCAGCCAAGACCCCTCAATCTCCAGTCCCAGCGAGCGAGAGGGAGCATGCGCAATTCTGCTGACCTCGCCGAGCCGCGGCCGCGGCCGCGGCCGGGATGGGTGGCGCCCACGCGCTTTTGGGCTGACGCGTGGCCGAACCGAATCCGCGCTTCCCGTTCCCCCTCGCCGCCCGCCCGCCGCGGCGGCACTGCTACTCAGCTGCCTCTGAGGATATAACAACGGGAATAATCAACGGCCTGACGCAGCGACGCTTGTCCGTGCTCCGCGGCAGTACCACAGCGACGCTTGACCTTGACGGGAGGGGTAGGGAGGGGGAGGGAGAGGGAGATGGAGAGGGAGGAGAGTGAGAGGGAGAGGGAGAGGGAGAGGGGGGTGGTTCCGCAGCCGCCGGCGAAGCGCATGAAGCTGGCACCGGTGGTACCGACCGCCGCCGGCGGCGGCGGCGGCGGCGGTGGCCAGGTGGCGTCACCGAGGTGGCGGAGGCTGCGGCAGACCTTGCTCGTGGTGCTCTTCC